AGTGACCCAAAATTGACTGTCAATAAATGCTCTAGAAAATTGATATATTTATTGGATTTATTTGATTTGTACTGTCTGTTTAGATTTATGTGATATTTTTTGCACAAAATATATAAGTGAATATTGTTATGTTTTCAACTGTAAGCATTAAATTGATAAATGTTATTCGCATTTTTTTGGCTTTATCCTTTCCAACAACAAAAAAAGGCATCGCGCAGGTAGCTCCCTTTCCTTATGAGCCGTCCCCACCAACTTTCAACACAAAGTTACACCCTTGTCTTAGACAACGCCTTAGCAGGTGCACTGAAAAAATTCGGCGCGCGCTATGCGTGCGCATTATCTTCTAGGGGCTGAGCCACCCTTGTCTCTTAAACCTAGAGACGCCCCTGGGTTAGGGTCAGGGTTAGGGCTAATTGTAATTTATATTCTACATTCGTGAATGGTGCGTCAAATGCGCATGCGCATACGACGAAAAAAACGTACGAAATTACGGTGCATAACTTTACGTACAATTTCATACGCACTCATAATGAGAATAGGTTGAAGTTCTTGGATATGTTTATGCCCAAAGCTCAAAACATTCATAGAAAGTTCTGCGTATGCCGGCGTTTTAGGACATTCTGGGACATCAGGCAGACGCTGGCTAAATCTTCCAGGTTTGACCGGGCCCTAAAGTCGTCTTCAAACAGCTCAGCTCCAGTACAGTGGGAACACCAGACCCAATAGACCTGCTAATATACGTGATACAGTCCAGCGCAACATTTAGACATAAACATTTCCCGCTTTGCCACTTCTGATCTAACAACTCTGTTTCCATTGGATAAACATGGAGCAGCTCTGATGAGAGGGATTCAGACAGATAATAGAGAGAAACAATAATAAATAACACTGACTACACCCTGGCTTCCTTCCATGTTGCTCTCCATTGTTTATGTCCCTGAGTTCTGTCACACTGGTGACATCTTTAACTCTAACCTAGCGTAATGATGTCACCAGACACGCAGCTGTGGGGGACAGAGGCCATGCAGCTGCCAGCAGGGGTTAGACCAGCTTTTTGTCCCAAAGGGAAGGGAGCCAAATGCTGGTTGTTAGCGGGTCGATCCATGTCTGAAAAACTAGGTAAAACATGGTCTTCTCAGTGGGAAAGAGGCTTATGACTCAATTGAAATGTATTTGATAAGGGCCTAGGGATTGATTGTCTTTATTGATCTCACAATGGAGAAATGTACTTGTTACATCGGCTCAATACTCAAAACACAGTGGCTTCCTTCCATGCTGCTCTCCATTGTTTATGTCCCTGATTTATGTCACACTGGTGACATTATCAACTTTAACCTAGCATGGTGATGTCAGCGGGTTAGACCAGCTTTTTTAGCCAGTGGGAAGGGAGTTAGATGCGATTGTTAGTGGACCAACCCATGTTTGAAAAACACGAGTTAACCTGCTAATTTCAGTGGAAAAGAGGCTAGAGGGATTTAGAGGGTTCTATATAATAAAAAAACTGGCCCTAAATCATGTCCTTATCTATGCAGCAGCCAGTTCCTAATAATTATTGCATCATATGAGAAACAAGCAACAAGGTATTCATCAAGGCCTTATCTTCTATGTTTCCACACTGGTTGGCATTATTACCGCTACTGTTATCATTGGTAACAGTTGTAGAAGTAACTATCGTCCCACTGTCAACAACAAAAACGGTCTGGTTGAATCAACATTTGTTACAGTATGAAGTCTACTATGCTTTGAGGAGCCTGCCTGTTATTACATGAGCTTTATAAACACTCAGAGGATCTGTGTGTTCCAGCTCTACATCAGCTTCCAGCTTCTGTTTGTTAAAGAACCAAATATAGTTCACCATCAGCTCATATGACGCTGCCTGACAAGCCAAGGCTCGGCCCAATTTAAATGTCTAACAAGCAAAAACCTTCATAAGAATAATAAGGTTGAATTCTTCACCACTTCCTTTGCCGTCTGTTTATAACGACTTGGAAATAAAACAGGTGAAAAAGATCTTGATGGTTCGTTTGTTGAAAAATATGTTTAACTCCAAGCTAAATATTTAGCTAGCACCAAGCTAGCTAGCTGAATATTTAGCAAGCTTGGTGCTAGCTAAATAGCTAGCTAAATATTTAGTTTGTTGAATAAATATTTAGCTCCAAACTAAATATTTAGCGAGCACCAAGCTAGCTAGCTGAATATTTAGCAAGCTTGGTGCTAGCTAAATAGCTAGCTAAATATTTAGTTTGTTGAATAAATATTTAGCTCCAAACTAAATATTTAGCGAGCACCAAGCTAGCTAGCTGAATATTTAGCCAGCTTGGTGCTAGCTAAATAGCTAGCTAAATATTTAGTTTGATGAATAAATATTTAGTTTGGAGCGAAATATTTATTTAACAAAGTACGATTTTTATTAATTAATTAATGAAATAGTGAAAAAGTGGTTTGGAAAAAAATTACCCCCCTATTTTTCTCTTAAAACGCGCTAAATAACCATAGATATTGCTCCAAATATTTGACTGCTTAACTTTACAAACAGCGCCCCATAGATCTAGCAGTTGCTATACTTCTGCTAAAGTATACGTTTTCTTAAGGCTATAGAGATTAATGGAAAATTAATGAAAGTTAAAGAAATTCAAAAGGAAAAATATGTTGTCAGAACTTGAGAAAGTATTTTTTTATTGTATTAGTAAAATGGGACAAATTATGTAAAGTGAAGATTTTTTTTTCGTTTTTAAGTGAGGTTTCAAATGTATTCATTTTTATTCCATCATTATAAATCCTGCTGTTTAAAAACACTTTTATTGAAGTTAGAGGATCAACTTCAGCTTTTTACTCCAGTAAAAGGAGCATTTTTAAAACCACTTAAAGTGAACTAACTCTAACTATAAGCTTTATCAAAAAGGAAAGTTTTAAGCCTAGCCTTAAAAGTAGACAGGGTGTCTGCCTCACGGACTAAAACTGGTAGTTGGTTCCACAGGAGAGGAGCCTGAGAACTAAAAGATCTGCCTCCCATTCTACTTCTGAAAAGAAGGACTGGGTTATTTACTTTGGCCTTTTTGGAAACACAGGAAGGAGCAATCAGCTAAGTGAGCTTAGTGCTTGGAAAAAAATCTTTCATTCCTTTAGAGACAGCATGAAAAGTCAGCTGAGTACAAAACATAGAGAGGAAAACAAGAAGAAAAGGGACAAGAAGAGAGGGACACAACCTAGAACAGATAATGGATGTCTATTCTATTAACATTTCTATATCTGGATAATGGGTCCGTTTTATGTGTTGTCTTCTCAGTTCAGAGGGGCCCCTGCCTGTCTTTGCCTAGGGCCCCAAATGTCCTAAATCCGCCCCTGACTTTAAGAAGAATTCCAGACAAAGACACAGTAAGACTTTATGTTATGAAAAGTTTATAACATTTTGAGTGCTATATATGGAGTAATAAATGCATATAAGTTAATACTCTCTCTGCAGAAAGTCTGGAAAACACAGATGTGTGTTTGTGTGTCGGTTCATCCTGTGCCTTGCTCATGGGCCCTTAGTTTCATGTTCTACAGACCATGTTTTATTACGTCCAACCAGCATAACAGAGACCTGAATCAGCTTCAACATGGCCGCCAGCGAAGATTTCCCCTCCTTCAGAGAACCCGGGCTAATTTTATATGAAAGAAGGAGCTGCTGCTCGATTTCTTCTTCGTTTGTTTATTAAGTTTTAGTAAGGGGGGGGGGGCTGTTCATTGGACTGAGGGCGAGTTTTGATCGACACCGTACAGCTCCGTTCCCCACGGTATTTATAACTTGGTCAGCTGACCTTGGACTTGTACGCCTCCACCACGCGGGGTGTCTCAAAACTTCAAAAAAACGTTTAATCTTCCTTAAATCACTGATGTATGTCGACATTAACATCGTTAATAAATCCAAAAGAGAGTTTGTTTTCAGCAAACCCGCGTAGCGCTGACTGAAAGCGTTTTTAACGCGGCGTTGTGGGAGGAGCCTCCCCCGCCCAGCAAATAATGGTACAGTCTTCTCTTGAAATTCCGAGAATTGAGCCTCTGTGTTTCTTAGAACTGGATTCTCAGAAGTGGTGATGCTCAGAGTTTCGAGGAAACTTTTATAAGGTGACTTTTTTTTTTTTCCTCTTCCTATTTTCTCAGAAGTTGCTCTGACTTGTTCAGCCGCTCCAGCTGCTGCCCAACGGCAGCCTTTCATAGATTTAATCTGTTTTTATTCCGTTTATTCTTGTTAAATGTTGCTGTTGTTGATAAATGCGCTGCTGGCTGTTTGTTTGACAGCTGCTGCTTTTCTGCACATTTCAGGGACTTTTCCTCCTTCCGCTCAGTCAGACTGCTGAGGACAAACCTCCTATTATTCATCTTTATTATTATTTTGTTTATAATCTAGGCCTTAATGAAGGAGCTGAAGGTCGTGTTGTCATAAATAGTCGCAGTCTGGTTTTATTTCGCTTCTAATTTCCTCTGCGCGTTTTTTGTTTTTCCCCGCGAACGTTTTTAATTTCATCAACTCTTTTATTATTATTATTATTATTAATGAATGTGTTTGTTTTGAATCAGATGTAAACAACATAAATGCTGCAGCAGTCTGCCAGGACAGCTTTAACTCCTGTAAACTTGGCAGGACTTTAGCCGCTCCTTCACCAGGCGCATTTCAGCGTCATTACCGCATCAGATCTGGTCTGGTGCAACACATTTGATGTGTTTGTGGGGGGGGGGGGGGGGTAACTGAGGAGAGTTCCCCTGGTGTCGGAGCGGGGGGGGGGGGGGGGGTCTGTCGCTGGCAGCTCCAATCTGAGCAGGAAGGACGGAATGTGCTCACGCGCTTGCAGAATATGCCAGCTCGCGCTCTGCGCCAGTTTGTTTGCGCACTTTAAGGAAACATGAGAACCGCTCACAGCCCTAATCCCAAACAAATATTCTTATTGTTTCTGCGTCATTGACACGATTATAAACGTGTATATGTTTGTTTTTTTTTACTCACTCTTAAAAAATATGAGTTGTCTAAAACTTTGTTGGGTGTAAATGTGATCCTAATTATGCGCGCGGGTGTTTTGTTTTATAAAAACTGCGCATTAAGTTGCTATATCGTGTTTACTAGGACGTCATTAGGACTCGGTCGGCGGAAAGCGGAGTTTTACACAGTTAGGGAAACAGGTGGGGTTTTTCCATTCAGCAATGGCTCCCCCTGGTGTCGAAACGCAGCCATGACAGCGTGATAATGGTTTGTCCAAAAGCAAACTCTACAAATGACTAATAACTTATAGTAAAGAAGATTAGGGCCACTGAAAAATAAAATGAACTGATTTCTACATATTATTTTAGTTCAATATGGGAAAATGCAGAATTTTAATCTCAGAATTCTGACTTTAATCTGAGAATTGTGGATCTTAATGGGCTCCATGAAGGCAGAGATGTGGAGTTCTCAGCTTCACTGATAAAGATGTGAGTTATTTGGGAGAAACAGGAACACATTGGTGGAAAATGATGGAATTAGGAGACTTTTTCCGTCCCTGCTGATGCTGTTTGATTAATGGAAGAGCTGGAGGTGATTAAAACAAGAGAGCTAGACTCTGCTTGATGCTAACATGTTTGTTAGCTGTCAGAATTCAGTCAGAATTCTGACTATTTTCTCAGAATTCAACAGAAATAAGATTTATAAATCAGTGGCCCTAATCCCCTTCCTTAGAGCTTTATCACATCAATGGATAATAAATGTATTACTGTAGCTTTCATTCGCCAAATAATTACTAGTTTTAATTTCAGCCTTATTGTTTTTTTTTATTTCTTTGAACAACAATGCTAGCAGAATTTACATTGAGATGTTAAGACATTTTATTAGCGCAGAATAGGAGTACATTTAGAAATGAGTAAAAACTTATTTGATTATATAATTTGAGCAGATAAATGAGATAGTTGCAACTTTATTTTTCTTCTCCTAAAATGTGACCTACTCATATCCTTAATGACATTATCCCCCCCGTGGACAGATTGCGACAGCATGGCCACCACTACAGATGGCTGCATTCAATTCACGCGTCACGCAGGCGACGTCCTGCTCAACTTCAACCGCCTCCGCAGCAGGAACCTCCTGACGGATGTCACGGTGCAGGTGGACGGTCAGATCTTTCATACTCATAAAGCCATCCTGGTAGCCTGCAGGTACGCACCACAGAGCAAAAATAAATAAAAACACTGTTCCAGACCTGACTGTTAAAATGTTAACTATACCTGTATGTTTTTTCTACAGCGGCTTCTTCTATTCTGTGTTCATGAAACCCGAGAACGCCTGCCTCAGCGCCATCAGCCTGGACCCCAAAGTAGATCCTAAGGGTTTCTCCCTCCTGTTGGACTTCATGTACACGTCTATCCTGAACCTCAACGACACGGTGGCCTTGACCACCCTGAACACAGCCATCTACCTCCAGATGGAGCACGTTGCTGACACCTGCCACAGGTTCATCAAGTCCAGGTAAACCACTGAGACTTTCAAAGACCTCCTGCTGTTGCTTTTGGTGAAGCTGGAAGGATCTGATGGGAGGTTTGCTTCATTCCTGCAGGCATCAGGTTCTTAATATGCAGATGGAAGAGGTGCAGAATAACCTGTCCGCTCTGACTGAGGAGATCTCCGTGAAGAAGCCTCTGGAGGAAAAGGAGGCAGACTTAAGAAACAACCTCTTACTGACCATGTCCTCTCAGGACTGTGGGGGCTACATCCCCAACGTCTTCAGGGGGATCAAAGCCACCGGTTCCTACCGCGTGTACGGTGATCGGCAGGTCCCCGCAGCGGTACAAGAGAGTTCTAACAAGATCCTACGACGGCAGGAAGCCGACATGGCCTCGGCGCAGCCGTTCTCCCTCAGCCGAAACCTTCAGTATCCCGTGTCTCCCATGGAGGACCACGGCACTCAACACCCGCAGACCGGCTGTCTGAGGCTCACTCCCAGCTACAGCAAAGGGGTCATCTGCAGCCCGCAGAGCCCCCTTAGATCCGACTGCCAGCCCAACTCGCCCACCGAGTCCAGCAGCAGCATCAACGCCAGGATGAGCCTGAAACAGGCCTGCAGCTCCCCCAGAGACGCCAGGGCCTGCAACTGGAAGAAGTACAAGCTTATAGCTCTGAACAAAACCCCTGATGAGAGCGGGAAGGAGGCGGCGTCCCCCTCCCCGAGCCCCTCCAGGGGCGAAGCAGCCGGCGGAAACGACGAGCTTCGGCCGGGGGAAGGAGCCGGCGGTCACAGAGAGGAAACGGCGCTGCCTCAGAGCGAACTCAGCTGCAGCAGCAGCAGGTAAAAAGCGGCAGAATTCCCGCTGGACGGCGATCTGTCAGGGAAAACCACATTTCAACGGAATTTCTTTCCTCTCCCAGATTCTCAAGCTGCAGCAGCCCTCAGGGAACGGAGACCAGCCACCTCTCTCCGGCCTCATACAGCAGCGACGAGGCCAAAAAAATGTGCTCCGACTTCTCCCCGTCCAGCTGTGGTAAGCAGAGGCGCCCGTCATCAGACTGTGGCACGTTTAGAAGAGAAATCATTAAAAATATCAGAAGCATCGAGTTTAAACTGTTCCTCTTTCTTTTTACATGTGCAGATAATAGTTTCTTCTGCAACGGCTGTGACTCCAAATTCTCAGAGGAAGACTCACTGAAGGACCACATGGGTCAGGCCCACAGCGACAAGCCATACAAGTGCGACTGCTGCCAGGCCGCCTTCCGCTACAAAGGCAACCTGGCCAGCCACAAGACCGTCCACACGGGTGAGTCCTCCATCGGGTGCCGCTGTACGGCCGGCGCAGGCGTCCTCCCTTCCCCCTCACTCACTCCGCCTCCGCCTCCTTCCAGGTGCAAAGCCGTACCACTGCAACATCTGCGGGGCTCAGTTCAACAGACCGGCCAACCTCAAGACCCACACAAGGATTCACTCCGGAGAGAAGCCATACAAGTGTGAGACGTGCGGCTCTAGATTTGTGCAGGTGAGAAAATCAAGCAAGCGGCCAAACGGAGCGAACCCGCCGTCCATGTTTCAGTGCCATTACGGTTTTTATGGTTTCCCGCCCGTCTCCAGGTCGCCCACCTCCGTGCTCACGTCCTGATCCACACCGGAGAGAAACCATACCCCTGCGAGATCTGTGGAACGCACTTCCGCCACCTTCAGACGCTCAAGAGTCACATGAGGATCCATACTGGAGAGAAGCCCTATCATGTAAGCTCAACTATAGATGGACTCAGTCGACTCTGAGTTAAACAGGAAGTATCTCTAAGGTGTTCGGTGCAGATAACAATATATATATTATAGTATTTTTTTAATAATCTAGTAGATTGTTGCGTTGAAATGTGTTCAGTATAACCGTGTGATGGGTTTGCTCCAGTCAGAGCTTCTCTCTCCATCTGCTGATGTAAAATTTATCTGTATTTTTGCTAAATTTGCCTCAGATTCCTGACTCCGCATATGATGGGGAAGATTCTCGAGGTCATTGTAGGTTTAGGGTCCAAATCTGAAGACGTTTCTCTTCCCATCCAGAAACAAAAACCAGGCTTTGTTGGGCTGCCGGATAAAACCTGGAACTAAACGCTATTTCTGACATTTTGGATTGAAAAATCTTCCCGGATGGAAGAGAAACGTCTTCAAAGTGGATTGATTTTAAAATTAGTTTGAATAAATCTGACCTGGATGACTGAGAATCTTCCCCATTAAATGCAGAGTCAGGAAGCTGAAGCAAATTTAGCAAAAATACAGATTATTTTACATCAGCAGATGGAGAGAGAAGCTCTGACTGGAGCAAACCCATCACACGGTTATACTGAACACGTTTCAACTCCCAGCTCCTGCATAAAGAACTTTCTCAGCTTAAACATTGAAACAAAACAACTTCAGTTCATCAGAGACGTTCATTTTTCATTATCCAGATAAACAGAACAGGTGTGTTGTGTTCATGGCAGGAAGGAGGAAGAGGAAACTTTAAACACTTATTTAAAACATAGCGGTCCATATAAATGACTAAACTTTGTTTCTTTTCCACAGTGTGAAAAATGTGACCTCCACTTCAGACACAAGAGTCAGCTCCGGCTTCACCTCCGACAGAAACACGGCGCCGTCACGAACACCAAGGCTCAGTACCGGCGGGCGGGCGGCAACATGGCGGCAGGCCTGGTCAGCTCCTCCTGAGTCTGACGCGTAGATCTAATCTCCGCCTTCTTTAGTCGGAGCTTATAAGCGATGACTGTCGACTCCCGGCTGCTCAGAGACTCTGTGCTTTGATCTTTTGAATGTACGTCTTGAATGTGAATCTGAGCGGGTTTTTCTCTCCGCCGCGCCGCGCAGATACCTTCCACAGAACGCCAGCCCTCTCCATGCAGAGAATCACTGTTACGCTCCGGTTCCAGGCTAGCTCTGACCTCGCCCTGTAATCCCTCTCATCCATTCATCAGGCCCATTATTTTGTGCTTTTTTCATAAAGCTGTTCATGTAAATAAGAAGATATCTTTATATTTTCAGATAATTGCTGGTTGAGTGCGACGTTATGAACCTTTGGTACTCATGGAGCAGCTCGGCTCCGCCTCCTTTTGCTGTGTCATAGTTTGCGGTACATGCTGTAATAATTACAGTCATAGTTGTTGTTTTTTAACTTGCTACTTTTTGTACATATTTAGTTTTTTTTGTCCACTAAATTTTTGGAGCTTGGTATCTTGCACAAACCCCTGTTTATAACGACTTGGAAATAAAACAGGTGAAGAAGATCTTGATGGTTAGTTTGTTGAAAAATATGTTTAACTCCAAGCTAAATATTTAGCTAGCACCAAGCTAGCTAGCTGAATATTTAGCTCCAAGCTAAATATTTGTTGAAAAATATGTTTAACTCCAAGCTAAATATTTAGCTAGCACCAAGCTAGCTAGCTGAATATTTAGCTCCAAGCTAAATATTTGTTGAAAAATATGTTTAACTCCAAGCTAAATATTTAGCTAGCACCAAGCTAGCTAGCTGAATATTTAGCTCCAAGCTAAATATTTGTTGAAAAATATGTTTAACTCCAAGCTAAATATTTTTTTGGAGTCTGTGTTCATACTTTAGTTGGAGCATTTCCACGTTAAATGTTCTCGGTGACTCGTCAGACCCCATTCCCAGCACTTTTATATATTCTTATTTATTTGTTTTGTAAATTTCTTACTGTTCATATGTGGTGCTGCAGAAATCTGTCGCCCCTCCCTGTGGGATTCTCTCTTTTTACTGCTTTATAAAACACTCATGATGATTATTCAGTGCCTTGTTTTCTATCGGCTGTTATGTTTCCACAGACTGACAATTAATGTGTTTTAATTGTTTGGAAGCTCTGGTACTTACCGCCTGTTCCCCCCCCCCCCCCCCCCCCCCCCCCCCCCCCCCCGCTCTGCCTTGGTACTATGGCTGATGATGTCATCCATATGCAGGTGAAGCTGTTTAATGTGCAGAAACCAGGCCTCAAGCTAAAAACACTCAGGAATATCAGTACTATGTAAGCAAATGTGTTTCTAATGGCAATTGAATATACATATGAAATATATGACAAAATAAAATGTGTATTGTGAAGCATATGGGATTCTCTTTCCTTATTGAGTTGTCAAAGTGATATTATGAACTATACCTGGAGCAGAGTTGCACTAGAAAAATCGAAATCTAGATTAGTATTTTTTTCTTACAATAAGTGCGTTTGTTCTTGAATTGAGGTAAAAGAGACATTTTGCCAATTGAACGAGACAATTTACATTTGAAATAAGAAAACACAACTGCATTGTCTTATTTCAAGTGCATATTATCTAATTATCTTATTTTAAGAATAAAAATACTCATTCCATTGGCAAACTGCCTCATTTATCTGCTCATATTAAGGGTAAATACACTAGATTTAAGAATTTTTTACTTATTTCTAGATCATTTTTCCAGTGTGATTAAAATGTGACCAAATGAAATAAAATGGTGAGAGATACGTAAGATGATTTACAAATAAATTTAAAAAATCACTCCTTTATCCAGATCACTGAATTCTATTCAGTGTATATCTATAGCTCCAATTCACATCATGTCATCTCAGGTCACTTTCCAGTTCACCAGATCATCCAGTCAGATTGATTCAAAGTTTTCTATCTAAGGAAAACCAGCTGATTGCATCGACTCATTGACTCTTCAGCAATCCCTCACACTAAGCATGCTTGTAGCGACAGTGGAGAGGAAAAACTCCCTTTGAACAGGAAGAAACCTCCAGCAGAACCAGGCTCAGTGTGAGCGGCCATCTGCTGAGGCCTTCACCATTGAAATTCACCAGAGCTATAGTGAAACTGACAATGCCCACGTGCATGGCAGCTGGATGCTGGAATACATCGGGTAAAAGTGAAAAAAAAAGAGTTATTCCACCTTTCTGATTCCTGATCCTCCACGGACGGGTTGGTCGTTGGATCGCCAACTTGAAGAGGGAGGATTTGCCATCGAACTTCTGGCCAGAGAAAAAACCCGTAATATGTAGCCAACATTTGGAAGAAGAATGTTTTCAAGATGACTTGGATAATAGCGCGTTGTGACAAACACCAGATACAGCACTGGGACTTGATCAACAGCCGATACCGCACCGTGACGTCACTAACCAGTAGGTGGCAGTAGTGTTCTTTGACAAACATGGATGCCTCCAGTAAAGCACATTCACATGAAAATTACTCTGAATTAAAAACACTGATCATTTATTGACAAGGATGGAATCATTTCAGATTTAAAGAACTTTCAGGAGTTTGGATTCTGAATATGAGCGACTTTTCCTTTAAATGCAGTATTGTCACCTTATCTAAACATCAGCTGGGATTCATGTGTTAGTCATGTGTGCCTATAGACAGGGCTCACGTATGGGGTCTTAAGATGCTCTAGACATTAAACTAAGCAATAAAAACTTTCACTATAAAGCATATGTATGTTTTACAAACAGAGAAAATCGATCCTCTTGAAGTTACTTTTTATTACTAATAGAATAGAGTTTTTAGATATAATGATATTCAGACCAAATTATGATTCATAAATCCTCTCTGACTTATATATATACACTATATATTTTTTTTTTTTTTCTCTTTTTTATGGGTCTGAAGTTGCAAAGTTCAGGAACTCCTGACCTAAACTGCTTTAAATTTAAGATTCATCAAAAGAAAAGTTTCTAGACCCAACAATAGAAAAGATGTTTGCCTCACAGGAGAGGAGATCTGAAAAATGAATATCTTCCTCCCATTCTGCTTTTAGAACATCTAGGAAGCACAAGTAGGTGGCCTGACTGTATAACTTTAAAAGTTCACTGCAAAAACGATCTAGAAATAAGTAAAAACTTGTTAAATTAAGTGTATTCACCCTTAATTTGAGTAGGTAAATGTTATTGGTATAGGTAAATGATAGTTTGCCAATGGAATGAGTAATTTTACACTTAAAATAAGATAATTAGATAATATGCACTTGGAATAAGACAATGCAATTGTGTTTTCTTATTTTAAATGTAAATTGTCTTGTTCCATTGGCAAAATGTCTCTTTAACCTCCTCAATTCAAGAACAAATGCACTTATTTTAAGAAAAAATTACTTATCTAGATTTAGTTTTTTTGCAGTGTTAGACATGATTCCCCGTCGTACGGAGGCCTCAGTCAAAAGTAAGAAAATTTGAATTTTATAAGGACCACTTCTTTGGATTAAAGTTAACTTTACAGTGTCAGCCACTTCATCTGGATAGTATTAAATTGATCTTAAATGAGCAATCTCCTGTCCAGGGGTGATGCTGAGAAACTAGTCCATGCATTTGTTACTTCAAGGCTGGACTATTGTAATTCTTTACTATCAGGAAGTCCACAAACTGTAGTTAAAAGCCTTCAGCTGATCCAAAATGCTGCAGCCAGAGTTCTGATGAAAATGAAAAAGAGAGATCATATCTCTCCTATCCTGGCTTCTCTTCATTGGCTTCCTGTTAAATCCAGAATAGAATTTAAAATCCTCCTTCTCACATATAAAGCCTTAAATGGCCAAGCTCCATCTAGGCTTAAAACTTTCCTTTTTTATAAAGCTTCTGGTTAGAGTGGCTCAGGTTATCCTGATCTATCTCTATAGTTCTGCTGCTATAGGCTTAGACTGCTGGAGGACATAGGGACCCCTTTTTCATCATTCTGCTTCATTCTATCTCTATTCTCCCACTCTGCAGAATCTGTTAGACGTCTGTCAACAACATCTAATCTCATAGATCATAGAGTTCTTCCTGTTTATCAGGTCTTAGTCCTGTTTATCTCCCACACATATCTATAGGGTCAACTTCTATCACTCTGATTCTTGTTCTGCTGCAGGTTTCTTCCTGTCAATCACCTCAGTTAGACTCGTAGAAATGTTCGTGTCATTAATAAATCATTCTGGGCTGCAGGGTGGCACACTTGGTTGCACTGTTGTAGCAAGAACAGCTCTAGGTTTGATCCTCAGTCCTGCAGGGAGTTTGCATGTTCTCCCGATCCGAAGTGGAATATAACCAGTTACATTTACTTGAGTAACTTTTAGACAGAAATATACAGTTAGAAGTATTTTCTCTTTACTGTAAATTCATGTGAGAACCGTTGCTTCACCTGCCAGGAGTAATTTAAACTGTTTAGAGATCAATTAAATATGCAAATGAGAAAAAAAAACAGTGGATATTTGGTGATTTTTAATTTTTATATCTATTGAAATAGTAGAATTTGAAAATAACTGGCTCTGTGACAGACTGATGGAATGAGCGGAAGAAGATGGGAGGATCAAAAATATCTTATTACATCCTTTTAAACATTAAATCAGACTTTATGAGCCACCAGTTCCTCACACTAGAAAAATCAAAATCTAGATTAGTATTTTTTTTATTTTTCTTAAAATAAGTGCATTTGTTCTTGTATGGAGGAGGTAAAGGAGACATTTTGCCAATAGAACAAGACAATTTACATTTGAAATAAGAAAATATTATTTCAAGTGCATGTTATCTATCTTATTTTAAGAATAAAAATACTCATTCCATTGGCAAACTATCTCATTTACCTACTCAAATTAAGGGTAAATACACTTTATTTAAGAAATTTTTACTTATATCTAGATCGTTTTTCCGGTGTAGTACTTAGAAGCCATTTTATCAGGTACTTTTTAAATACACTTCAAAAACCATCTAGAAATAAGTAAAAGTGTCTTAAATTAAGTGCATTAATTCTGAATTTGAGCAGGTAAATAAGATGATTTGCCAATTGAACGAGTATTTTTACTCTGAAAATACGATTATTAGATAACATGTGCTTGAAATAAGATAACACAGGTGTTTCTTTCTTATTTTAAATGTTGTCTTGTTCCTTTGGCAAAGTGTCTCACTCAGCTCCTTAAATCAAGAAAAATGCACTTATTTTAAGAAGGAATTATTTATATAGATTTACATTTTTTGCTGTGTAATTTCATTGACGATACGAATACTTTCTACTTCTGCTGCAGTAAAAAATAAAATAAAAACCACAATTTGTTAAATTTGTTTTGGAAAAAAATCAGATTTTTCAGAATTCTATGGAAGAAAAACGGTCTCAATGGAATCTGCCTTTTAACACCGAATTTTAACCACTTAACATTTTTACACATTGAATTCCTTTGCAATTTTTTTTTGCAGCTGAATTTCCACCAGATAAAAATTCAGCGTACCGGTACATAAAAA